CGGGCCTGCGAACCAGACAATTGCGGTTCGATTCCCAGTCAGGGCACATGCCGGGGTTGCAGGCCAGTTCCCTGCAGGCCACTTCCCAGCAGGGGATGCATGACAGGCAACCATACATTGATGCTTCTCTCCCTCTCTCCTTCCCTTCCCCTCTAAAGATAAATAAATAAAATCTTTTTTTTTTTTTTTTTAATTTCTCACAGACTTTATTAAATGTCTTTTCAATTCCCCCTCACAACCCCCAAACCACCACCCTACTGCAGCAGGAGTTTCCGGTTTTGCCTGTAAATGATAGCCCTGGTCAGAGAGAAAAAGCCTGGAGGTTAGAAAAGAGATCTTCTGGCCCCTCCAGGTCAACCAACCCCCTCAAACTTTCCTCCAATCATCAGTCTTATTTGGCTTAGTCAATGACATCATGGGTCTCTGGGCAGATTTCCAGGGTTCTCAGCCAATCAGTGTTGGCTCATGAGGCGAGAGGTGTGAAAAGTTGGGACAGGAGTAAGGGTAAAATGTGGGAAGAGTGGAAGAAGTCACTGAGAGACACAGTCACAGCAAGAGAGACTCAAGCAGAAGGGAAAGGCAAAAAGAAATAGAAATAAGGAAAAGAGAGAAGCAGGTGTAGTAGGTGGAACTATGTTTTCCAAAAGATATAGCCAAGCCCTAACTGCCAGTACCTCTGCAGATTGGCCTTACTTGGAAATAGGGTCTTTGCAGATGTATTTAAGATCAAATAGCCCTGGCTGGTGTAGCTCAGTGGATTGAGCACAGACCTGTGAACCAAAGGGCCACCGGTTCAATTCCCAGTCAGGGCACATGCCTGGGTTATGGGCCAGGTCCCCAGTAGGGGGCGTGCGAGAGGCAACCACACATTGATCTTTCTCTCTCCTTCCCCCCACCCTCTAAAAATAAATAAAATCCATTAAAAAAAATGATCATTCTGGATTCGGGGTGGACCTGAGAGAGAGAGAGAGAGAGAGAGAGAGAGAGGCAGAGAGAGGAGCCATGTGAAGACTGAGGGAGGCAGAGATTAGGCGGAAGCCAGGAGCCCAGGAATGCCGGGAATGCCAGCAGCCACCAAAAGCAGAGGCAGGTATGGAATGGATTCTCAGAACCCCCAGAAGGAACCAGTACTGCCAATCTTTTGATTTGGGACTTCAGACCTCCAGAATTCTAGAAGAATAAATGTGCTGCCTTAAGCCATTTGTGGTCATTTGTTACAGCAGCAAGAAGAAATTAATACACAGGGAGACAATGGGGAGAGAGTTCTGTAAAAGTGAAACAGAGGTGAGTCAGAACTTGGGCAAGAAGCTGAGAGCGAGAGAGCGAGAGAGAGAAACAGAATTCAAGACAGAAAGGGAATCCCGGAGATGGCAGAGGGGAAGACAGAGATGAAGACCAGTTGAAGACCAGGCGAAAGGTTCAAACACGGGGAGAGGGGAGAGAGCTGTTCGAAAAGCGCTGGAGAAAGAGAGGGAAGATGAGAGACAAAGGAGGTGGCGACAGTGAGACAGACGTAAAGCAGCAGAGAGGGGCTGACAGAGAGTGCGAGGGCCATGTGGGGTGGGAGTTGGGGCAGAGACCCAGAGACGGGGAGGGACATTCAGAGAGAGGCAGAGAGAACCTGAGAGTCACAGATTCAACCTGGGGACAGTGGGGAGAGAGCGGGGAGTGGCAGATTTGGGACCGGGGGCAGCGGAAGGGAGGAAAAAGCCCAGTAGAAGAGGCAGAAAGATGAAGCGTTTCAGAGAGGGAGAGAAGGGGACACACCAGAACGAGCTCCCACTAGAGCTGACATTCCTTGTGCGACGTGCTGACTCAATGCTCACCACCGCCCCCGAGAGGCAGGCACTGGAATTGTCTCAAATTGAATATGAAGACACTGAGGGAAGGGACGGAGAGAGACTGGAGAGAGTAAGTAGATAGGAAGAAAGCACAAGGCGTCTTCTCCCCTTGGCACTGTGGGGTCCATGCTTGGGGCCTATGGGAATGTTTTCATTTTAAATACTTTTCAAAGTAGAAGGAAATAGTGTAACAATGAATAATAAGAAGAATAAGAAGAATATAATAAATCAATTTTTTGAAGACAGAATATATGTCTTCAAACCAGCACATCCACAAAATATAATTGTTAGTTTAGGGTTTGTTTTTTTTTTTTTAATGGAAGAAGAGACCCACAAAGGCAACAGAGGAAAGACAAATGTGGGGGTGGGCGGGGGGAAGAAGATGAGAGACAGACAGAGCGACAAGCAAGAGAGAAGAGAGGGAAGAGGGGACAGAGAAGAAAGAGAGAGAGGAAGACAGAGACGTAAAGTGACTGGGTAGAAGACTCTCAAACGACACAGTGACCTATCAAGGGCAGTGCCATTTTCGAGGGGCTCAAAGGTGATCTCTGGGGGTTTCGGGGGGCAGCAGGGATGACTCACGAAGCCACGATGACCCCAAAGGTGAAGACAGCCAAAAACAAGGAAACCATGATGCCAAACAGGGCCTGGTTCTGCGGATAGATACTCTCTCCGTTGTACTGCAGGTTCACGCGGGGCTGCTTGTCCACTGGGCGGGTGGGCGGAGACAGTGCGAGCTGGTTACCGCCCTTCCCTGGCCTTGACCCCACCCGACTGCTCGCTGGGCAACGCGGGCCCTCTGCGCACTACGTGGCCCTCTCCCTTTTCCCGGCGCTCCAGTCATCCATTCCTCAAATTCTGCGTCCCAGGCACCATTCTAGGTGCGTGGGATACCACTATGAACCCACCCTTGTCGACCCTCAGCAGCGTGTCATAGCGCAAAATGCCAATAAAATCTTTTAAAAAAATGCTTACAGGAGGTGCTCATCTTAAAAATAGGAGCACCAGAGTAAAAAAAAAATAAGCGAGATGAAACAATTGAAAGATGATGCACCCTCATAGCCGACTCCCACTTATAAATTCTTCCTTCTTCAGCTTTAAGTATATCATCAGTCAGATTTCTCTAACTTAAAACTAGAGCTCAAGTCTGAATATCGGCTTCTACTAAGCAAGATGTAGAGGAAATAAAATTGTTACAGCTTTATAATGCGACCTCCCCAGAGGTGCAAACTGCTTATTTCCCCTCCCACTCTCAAAGTAAAATTGTCTTTGGCTGGGAAATGATCATTTGCATAAAACAGTATGTAGAAAACACTTTATAACACAATATAAACATTTGCAGAATGTAGACTGACTTTGCATCAGTGTTCACAAAACTGTGTATCATCTAAGATTATTATAGACTTTCGTTTTCCACTTTAGGCACAATAAAATACAAAAATGCACTGAAAATCAGATTTAATGCACAAGTATCAGTCTAAGCCTCTTCATACATTTTTTTTTCTTGGAGAAAATCAAGAAACATAAACAGAGACACAACAGCAATAAAGCACCACCAACAGTAACACAAACCCAAACAGAGAATGCATTCTGTAATGCCTGGTAATTCTTTCACTTGAAATAAATGATCTCTCATGGGTAATAATTCACTATCAGAGCAATTCGATGAATAGAAATAGAGACAACTTCATTAAGTGCAATTACATTGTATGTAAGAAACACATAATTTTCCTCTCTCTCTCTCTGTCTCTCTGTCTCTCTGTCTCTCTCTGTCTCCCTCTCTCATAAAGAAAATGAGGAAAAGTAACCTGCCCAAAAGGCATATTGAATACTTTTAGAACACTTGGCTCCTCTTAGAGGTTCGGGCCACTGTCCACTTAGGAAACTAAAATAACATGAGGTTCATGGAACCTAACACTTCAGCTCACTTCTTTAATTTAATCTTAAGGTAACACAACTAAAAAGCTCAAAATCCAAGAGTAGATTTGTCCCAAAGAATGACTCTTCTTTTCCTCCACAAGTTTCCTTTTCTCTTAGGTTCTTGTGCTCTCCCCTTCTTACACTCTTTCGTAGAGATTGCATTTAGGCTTGTTTATTCCTTTACTTTACTTCATTGCCATGAACAAAACAACAACAAGCTTTTCTGAACTGACATCGACAGTATCCACCTCTCTTTTCCTTCACTTAATGCTCTGTGATCTAAGTCAATTTTCTTAACCGACTTCTTCAATTCATCTTTCAGCAAACCATATTAAACCTTTAAACTCCCGGAACAGACCAATCCCAAAGCTTCAGGGTGGAGGACAGATGTAACAAATACGATGAGGATGAAAATGTGAACCCCTAAGGGCTCCTTTCCTGGGCTTTGTTTACAAGATCCTAGTTCACTGCATGAAGGCTGCATCTGGGATCTTGCCGTTTACCTGGAGAAAGTCAAGAGAGAGCGTTGGGAAGACAGTAGAGCCAGGAGTGCGGAGATTCCTCCCCAGGCCACCTGACATCTATCCACTTAGCCTTGCTGAAGGCCTGGAGACCCATTTCCCTTCATCTCTGAATTCTCAGACTTCGCTTCTTCACGAGTAAAGAATTTTAAGTCCTGGTGCCATCTCGTCATTGCACTAAGAGCACCTGTGGTCGGGGAGGAAAGATGACCTCCCTGAGGACCAAAGTGGAGAGAGTTTGGCCACACGATGACACTGCTAAATAGAGGCTACAGAAGGAAGCCTCCCAGTGTACCAAGCCATATGCCCCAGAATGACCAGTGGCACTGCGTGGAATGCTGAGAAAACAGCGTAACAGCTTAGGCCTACTGGAATTCAATTGTTTAATATACAGATCTTAACAGGAACAAGGCAGCTTAACAAATACTGAGAGGAAACTCTGCTGGAGGTAAAAATTAGTAAATAAAAGAAGTTAAAAAACATCACGCAGAGAACCGTATTTCCTGATGCATTTACACCTATTAGTATACAGTGAGGATATGTGTCACGTGTAAACTTTTTAAGGAAAAAATAGTCGTCGTATCTAAAATAGTTACCTGCAAATTCCCTCTCTTCAACCCTCTACTACTCCCAGCTCCCTCCTATCCCCATGCACAACCAGCACTCACTTCTGAGACCACTAGAGGCTCATCTGAGACAGGCTGAAGGACACTTGCACCATTTCCTGCTGCTCCTGAGGGAGGGTGGGCTGAGAACTGCAGTGGGGTGTGGGCACGCAGCTGGACAATGCACTCTGAGTCTTCCTAGGTGTGGCGTCCCTCACAAAGAGCTCATCATTCACGACACACAGACTGGAGAAAAATGGACCCTCAGCCAACTGATGGATGGACAACCCCACGCCCTCAACAGTGATTCTGCTTCCACTGCCACTCAGCAACCAGATTCCTCCACAGCCTGACTATGTCTGACCCTGAATCATTGCCTGGTAGCTCTGCCACTCCCACGGAGGTCCCCCGTGGAGGGAATGCCTGCGAGCTTCACTAGATTTGCACCTCTAACTCCCTTGCATTTACTCTGAAAAACAGAGCAAAGGAGAGGACAGTCTAAATCCATTTGCAGAGCGACACACAGTGTCACAGAGAAGCCATATGACTTCACAAAGGTATACATCTAGTTAGTGTTGGGGTCACGAAGAGACTAACCCAGTGTACTAACTCCAGAGCCCACACTCCTAACCCCAATGCTGGACCGTTCCCTGGATCTGCATGCTGGCTCCCAGCAACACTGAAAAGAGCCCCCAAACCTGTACTGCTCCATTCCCACACCCCCGAGCCCAGGCTGGACTGGCTGTTCTCACCCAGAGCGCAGCACTCACCTGGAACTGCTGGCAGGGGTAGCGATGAAGGTCCGGGAGAAGGCGCGCACGCAACCCTGAGACGGTCCTTCCACTATCAACAGCAACAACAATCCTCGCTTAGAGCCACAATGTTTCACAGGCTCCCCCTGCACTCCCCAGTTAGGGTCGGACTCCACACATGCGCAAGGGGACAGCGGTTCACTGGGAGTCAGGGTGCCAGGAATGGGGAGGGCAACGATAGGAGCAATCTCCTCCCACTCACATGGACCCTACTATGCCCTGGGACAACCACTCCACAAGTTCATTTGATTCATTTTTAGCAGCTACCCAGGAGGTGGGCATTATTAGCCCCGGTTTGCAAGAGAGGAAAAAGAGTTCCATGTAACTAGCCCAAGTTCTCAGAGGAAGTTATCTGGGGCGACAGCCACCAAAACCCATACCTGTATCCCTAAGAGCCCAGCTGTGTGGGGCTGACAAGCATGGGTGCAGGTCAGGGCAGGATGGGTTCGGGGCAGAGTCGAGGCAGGAGAACACAGGGGGAATAGGGGAAAAGGGGGAGGGTTCAGGGAAGTGGGGAGAGTTCTCAGAGAGGTCTCAGGCTGCAGGAGGGACAAGTGGGGCATCTGCAGGCGGGACTCTACACACACTCACCCTCCTTGAACACTCCACTGACACAGATGAAGATCATGGTTTCCTGAAAGAAAAGAGTGCAGGTGCTCAGTCACCGACCACACCTCCCACCCACCTGTGTCTTTCTGGGCCAGCCCGAGGGAGGAAGCGGGTTCTCACCGACTGGAAACACATGTCCAAGATGAAGGAGCTGAAGTCATGCTGAGTTTTGGGCAACACACAGAGGGGAGCACACAATGTCACGTTTTGTATGTTTCAGCAGCTGAAAGCGCAGGTCTGTGGGGGAAGGACAGCAAGGGTCAGGGTTGCTGGGGACCCAGGGACCTATGACCGGCCCCTTCACGCCCCCTTTGGCTGCCCAATCTTCCCCATCCAACACGCACTGGGGTCCTTGAGGCTCTTCATATTCCGGTTATGTTTGACGTACTCAAAAAAGCTGCTTCTGGGAAAACAAAAACAAAATTAAAAAATAATAAAAAAACAACAGGATGTGTTGGTCTGGCCAGTGTGGGTGTTGCAATGAGCTGGCCTGTGTCTGCTGGGGAGCCACACAGCCCAGGAGCAGAGTCTGAGCTGTGATACTCACGGATCTGGATCGTTCGGGTTGAAGGGAATGGCAAGGGAGAAGCAGGCCTCATCGTGATAAGCACTGAGGAGACTCTGTCTGTCTCCAGAGTCATAGATCGAGTAATACCTGTGAGGAGAGAATGAAGACAGTCTATCTCCATGGTCTGGACCTCAGATGGGACTTGAAGACTCCCACGAGCAGTCCTGTGCTTGTTGGCCCAGTGTGGCCCAGCCCTCTCTCATTCCTGGTAGGCCCCGGTGTACTCACTGCTGGAGGAATTGCAGTACTAGACTCTTCACAACATCAGGACCTTTACAGCTTCCCTGGAATCAAAGACATTTGAGGCAATGTGGCTGATAAAGCCTCCCTTGCAATAAACGCCCCAAATGTTGACCTTTCTCCCTCACCTTGTAGGGCTTTGTTAAGTTGGGCCTGTCAATGTCAGCAGTAGTCGGTGGGGGTAAATCGTGGCCATCCTGGAGAAGGGAAGAGGAAGTTGGCAGTGTACACCAGGAAACTTGTCCCGAATACATAGGGCAATGGATGGGCTCATGGGGTGGTGAAGGACAGAAGTCAGGAGTGAAAAGGACCTGGAAATTTCATGGGCAAGATTACAGTGGGCATCTGCATCATGAGGTCCTGGAAGTCTCTACTGTTCTATGCAACTTCTGTGTGTGGGGGTGGGTGTGTATGTCTATTTCTGTCTGTGTGTGTGCCTCTCTCTGTTCCTCCCGCTCTTCCTCCCCACCTCCTTCCCTCCCTCCCTTTCTCCCTGTCTCGCTCTGTGTCTGTGTACATTTCCGCATCGATCATAATCATGTTCCCCCAAATGCCTAAGGGTCTGAAGCAAATGGGTGATTTAGGCAAGGCTCAGAGTGCTTGGGGGCAGGTGTGGAGGTCGTCGATGTGAGTAGAGATGATGAACGAAGGCACTTACCAAGCGTGACAACTTGGGGAAACATTTCCTGATGGCACTGTCCAAATCCAAAAACAGAAGGAAGTGGCCGAGAGTTTGGGTTGCAATGCTTCCATTTAGTGAAAACACTGGTGGCATGAACAGAGACAGGTGCCCTGCCCACCCAGCAGCCCCCTTCCCTCCTCGGCCTCTGATCTCAAGGGATCTGGGTCCACTTGCCTGCTGAGCACTGACCATCTGCCATATGGAATCTCAGAGAAACACAGGCTCCTCATCTCCCTCCACACCTTGACATTCATACTGCCAACTGTACTCCCTCCCTCCGTTTTTCCCTCCTACCCTCCCTCTCTCTCCCTTTTCATCCTGCCGGTTAGCTTCCATGCAGAGGGCCCTGACTCACTTCTCCAGTGCCACAAGGCACAGCATTTGGATCCCAGACTCTAGGGCTTCTTCCCCTTCCCTGCCTCCCTATGTTCCTCCTGCTCCCCAGTGAGGGCTCCAGAGAAGCGGTAAAGGGTGGGAGCCCAGAGCTCTGCTACCTCACTGGGGGCCCTGCATCCTGCCAGGACCAGGGCCAACCCCATGCATGGCCCAGGATGTTGGGGCAAGGGGGGTGAGTGACAGAGGGATCAGGAGGCAGGGAGGGGAGAGGGAGGGGGAAGAGGAAAGAAAGGGAATGAAGATAGAAAAGGAGGTTGGGAAGACATAAAGGGAGTCGAGAAAAAGGAAAAAGGGGAAAAAAGTGAGGGGAAAAACATGCTGCCGTGTGGTGGGGGGTGGGGGTCAGATAAGGAGAAAGAAGAAAAGGAACACGGCACCCCTGCAACAGCCCTTTCCTTCATCTGCTCCTGGGTGGCCCTGTGTCTCCAGGTAAGAATGGAAATCATGCCCTTGGTGGCCTGAGGGCCATGGGATGGATGCTGGTTGAGACCTTGTCAACTGTGGGAGCTCAGTCCAAACTGAGAGCTGGAAACGCAGCAGCCACGGGATCAGGTGACCTTTCCCAGAAGGAGGAAAGGCCAGACCCCAGCTTGGCATGGGCTTGGGGGGGGTGTCTCTGACCCCCTCTTATGATCACTGCCTTCTCTCCTTATGGCCCCTGAGCATCTGTGCCGGTCTTAGTTGGTTCCTTGCCTGAGGAATCCTACCCGTGTGGAGTACCCAGGGCTCCTCCTCCGAAGGACCAGGCAGGAGTGTCATGAGTGGAGTGAGGGGCGGTGCCCCTAGTAGGATTGTCTTCTGTCTCCTCAACCCCCTATGCCCTCTGCCTTCCACTGCTGCCTTGGGAGGCCCTTTGCTCACCAGTGCTGCCTCACTTCTGACCCTGACTCAGGAAACCCTGGATTCTCCCAAGGATGCCCCATCCCCTGGCATTGCAGCAAAACAAGGGATGTCATGATGACAGCCACCCAAGGCCTGGGCCCTTGGCATGGGGCGGGAAAATCGCCATGTCAGCCTGGGATTGGCGGGGGGACACCATCTTTGAAGCATGGGAAAGAGGGTTCCTCCCAGAATAGGATAGGGATCCTCTGTGTCATCTCAGAAGCAGGAAGGCCTGTCTGAGCCTGACTCTGAGGTGGAGGATGTTTCCCAGTCCAGGTCACAGTATCTGCCTCGAGCCTCAACACTCTTAGTCCTGGTGAGCGGGGGAAGCCCTGCATCCCGGAGACACTTCTAGGTGGGCATGCTAGAACACACCGGATGTAGAGTCAGAAACCAGACCCCTAGAGAAAACTAGATGCAGGGTCAGGAACCAGACACCAGACCTGTGGAATAGGTAAGCAGGTCAGAGGAAGGGAGGATAAGAGACCTTTACGCGTGCAGGTAAGGGACACAGAAAAGAGAAGGGGGAGCTTGTGGTCCTCTCAGAGGACCAGGGTTCTCAGAGGACCTTCTGTGGCAGGGCTCCCAGGGATCAAAGGTCCCCAGGAGGGGTGACAGGGATTCACACTGACCTTATGTAGGTGGATTGGTCTGGGAAGGTGTCACACAAGGGATTCCCGTCCAGCCATAGTTCTTCAAGCTTCAGGCCTTTGATCTTCCCCAGCTCCCAGGTGCAGTTAAGCTGCAAAATTGTGGGGAGGAAAGTAAAAACTAGTCCCCGGGAAAGAGGGGCATCCAAGCCCCTGAACCCACAGCCCCCTCCTTTACCCACAGGTCCCTGTGCCTGCCCGCCATCAGCACTCTCATAACCACCACCCACTGCCCTCAACCACTCTTTGATCCGTCCCTCTCTCACCTCATTTTTGGACAGGTTCAGGATCCTGATTGTGGGGACCATCTGTGTAATATCAGACAGGCCATCCAGCTGAAACAGTCTGTTGTTGCGCAAGTTTAAGGACAACAGCTTTGGGAAAGAAGAGTTAGAGTGACGGTTACCATGTGGGACCTCGGAGAGACGAAACTGCTCTCCGTCCCATCTGTTCCACCCCCAACCATAACACCAGAACTGGACCCATGGCCTCACCTCGGGGAAACTCGTCTTGATGACCTGCAGGGTGGCAGTCATGCAGTTTCTGCGATTCAGTATTATATCAGTACCGTGGCGCACCAAGTCTTCAGGAAGCCCAGAGTGGGGAAGGAGAAGGTTGAGAGGTGCCCAGGACAAGAACCAAACCTTCCCTCATTACCATCTCTAAGGCTCCCTCCCAGGCAGCAACCTCTTTCCTCACCTGCCTTAGTATTTCTGCGGTCAACCGTACCTGGGTCATAGCGCAGACTCTGGAGGTCAAGAGCTTTCTGGGAGACATCATATCTTCTGCTCATGGTCAGCTGCACGGGGAGATGGAGACTGAGCCCTGAGGTTGTGGTGGTGACAGGGAAGTCGGGAGGTGGAGGAGGAACAGGTGGGTCTGGGGCCAACATGTACCCTTGAGCCCGTGTTACCTTTAGTTGTTTCATTTTTTCTGGTGCCAACTTATCCTGCACAGAGTAAGGTACAGCAGAAGAATTGACAAAGATAGGTATCTGCAGGAAGAAGAGGAGGGATAAGCACCAGGAGCTCTAGTTGCAAAGAAGATGACCACCGCTGCCTGTCCTCCTGCCTCAGACCAAGTATGGATAATACCCTCGACACACACCTTTCTGTTCTCCTCGTCACAAATCTTGTAGCTGACATCCATCAGTGCAGAAGCAGCGCTAGCATCCTGGACAAAGAACTGAACCTTGTGCTGTGTGTAGTGGAACTACAGGGATTGAAGCAACGACAACGGTGTCAGGGGCCCATGGCCCCAGCTGAGCCAGGTCTCTCCCCCTTCCCTGTGCACCCCCTCATCTGGCTTCACCATCCTCTCTTACGTCCACTGGAGTGAAGGGGACAGTGCAATGGCTCTGGATTGAACTCATTAGCCAGCTCCTCTCATACTTTTTTCCAAAGGGAATCTAATGGTCAAAAGAAGGGCAGAGACACAGGAGAAGCAACGTGGGATAAGGCTAGAGAGCAGACCCGACACAGCCCTTTTCCCAACTTCTACTCAGCTTTAAAGGGCTTTTAAAGAAGAGATCATTGGCACGATTTCTTATGTGTGTGTGCCAAACACGGGGTTCTTACATCCATCCATTACCTCGCCATTCAAAGCTCTCCTCCCCATAAGCAACTTAAAATGTTAGACATTTTCCTTCTTTTACCAAGTTCCAGGAGAGCCTATCTAGGACACGGCTCGACCCCTCTGACAAGCTTTCCAGAGACTCAGTGCCTCATCTCCCCCACTCAGCTTGAGCCACACCGAGACATCCAGTATGAACTTGCTCCATTTCCGTGGCCGTAGTTCTGCCTTTGCCTTTAGACAGCCTCCTCCGTTTTCCTTACAGTCAGCCTGTTTCCTTTTATTGCTCCTCTGAATGTGCCCTTAGACGAGTAAAGAGTGTTAAGTCCCAGTAATAAAAAGGGCAGATTGTAAACTGTCCCCAGCGTAGTACTGTCTCTACATGAGACCAACAGATGTCCACCTGACCTTCCTCTCCACCGCACTCCATACACTATTCCAGGATACTCACTGTGATCTTGAACCAACTAGACTGGGTTCCGTCTTGTTTGTCCTCCCCCATCTCGCTCTTGAGATGTTTTCTATCGTTCCCCAGAGTGACACGGATTTGGCCTTCCTTATGCCATTTCACCCTCCTCTTTTCCTGTCCCACAGTATAGGGAGTGCTGTGGAGAAGGAGGGGAGGAGAAGAAGGGTGGTCATAAATGCTAAGAAAGTCTTCTAATAAATACCCTTGCTTCCCTGACATCAGGACCGCAATCGGTGAATCATGATTTCACCTCTAGCACCCCTCAGTTTGCCAGTGAGAGAACAATAATTGTAATAAAAAGAACACTGACAGTGAAAGAGTTGCATGGTCCCATGTCCTGCTCTGTTATATGCAAACCAGGCTGGCCGGTCACTTACTGTCTTCCTCGGTACTTCAGGATACCCTTCCTGTCCACGTTTCCACCATCCTTCTGGAGGTGTGAAGGCTGAAGCTCATATCTACCGTGCTGATAATGAGGGTTCCTCTTGCCAAAATCACCTGGAAAGGAACTCCACCCTTGCTTTCTTCCTTGGGGTGGCCTGCCAGCATCACTGTCTTCTGAAACAAGGAAAACAAATGCAAGTTTGGAGGCATGTCTCTTCCCGCTTGCCAATGTGCCATTCCTTAGGCTACCAGCACGGTAGGGCAAGCAAAGTGCCCATGTGCCCTAAGGGACCAGTCCCTCAAAACACAGAAAGGAAACTCTTCTGCCTGCCCACATAGGAGAGCCTTTTCTGACAGATGATGCTAGCCAGGGACAAACCCTGCAGGATGAAGCAGGAAGAGCGGGATGAAGAGGAGGAGGGGAGAAGGGAAGAGGAGGAGGAAACTGTGTTGGAACTTTTCAAAAATGGAGCAGGATGTATAAAGAACAGAGGTGTACACATCCAAGGGTTGCACAGACTGGACACCAGCCATACATCAGGAAGCCATGTGAATCTTGCCTCTCTCAGGGCCCTCTAACTACCTCACCAATACTTGGCAGGTGATCTCTCTCATGCTTCTCAAACCCAATCGGCCACCAAACTGATTCCACTAACACTCACTCAGCAAGCTCTGCTTCCTTTGCTGGTGCAGTACAAGCTTTAGTGTCAGGTGGAACGCAGGTAACAGCCTCCTAAACTGTCCCCCTCCCTCCAGCCGTGGTCCAAACAGTACCCTATTTGAAATATCCAGAGACAGCTTTCTCTTCGTCCAGTCTGAAATGCTTTTGAGACCAGGCGACAACTCTTTTCTAATCTCAGCTCTTCTATAACACGGAAACCGGAATGGTGTTGCGACTGCTATTTCCCAATCTCTACAGATTCCTCCTTTCTTTCTGTTATGGATTTCCAATTTGAGCCCTTTTTGGTCAGAGAACATGCTGTGTGTAACTTCAGTTTTTTAAAGCTTGTGGAGGTTTGCTTGGGTGCCCAGCTCATGGCCTGTCTTGATGAATGTTACATAGACACGCACAAAAAAACACTGTGTGCCGCTGCTGTTGGGTGGAGCGTTCTACTTGTCAGCTAGATCCTGTTAGTTTACTGCATCGTTTGAATCTCTTCTATCCTTGTTCATTTTCCCTCTAGAAATTCTGTCACTTGCTGAGAGTGGCTGCTGAAGACCCCGACTGTCCTTTTGGACTTTGCTATTTCTCCTTTCAGCGCCATCAGTTTTAGCTTTGTGAACCTTGTGGCCGTGCTGTTAGTAGTAGCGTACGCCCTCAGGATCAGGATGCCTCCCTGGTTGAGACAGTCTTTTATCTCCATATCATGCCTCTCATCTCTTAAAATTTTTAGCCCTGACATCTACCCTATGGGAGGTTGTAACCACAAGTATGCTCATAAGGTGTCTTGGTAATACTGCACTCTGTATTTTCTCCTAGGAGTGGTGTTGCTGTCCACCCCTAACCCCCACAAACACTCCCAACAACGTATGTTAATTCTCCATGTGGAGGGAGTTGGCGTTTTGTGTGCATCTACATAAACAAGGTAGTCCCCATTCTCTCTCCCCTACGAGGGTTCACTAATGGTATTTTATCTTTAGCGCATTCAATTGAAACAGTGCACCAGCAGACAACAACACTAGTGCTTTGCTTGAGTGGGCAGGAAGATTACGGAAATTAGACTGTAAGAAGAAGCCCAGCTTCCTTTGGGGTCTCATGTTTAAGGTGCTCTAGGTCTGTGTGTTGCACATTTTGTACATCAATTACCCCATGTTTCCTCGGGGCCACTCAGGAGTAAACATTGCGACGACGGCTGATCACCCAGTGACGTGCTGATGACGACCAGGCCTCAGATTAACACCTCCAGGGAGCCACTGCTCTCACTGTGTGGCCCGCTGTCAGGACAATCTTAAAAGTCAGAGCCCTTGAGACCTTCCATGTGGTGCGTGGCACTGGAAGCGAAGTTGAACACGGGTACAGCGTTTTACCCATGAATACCACTTGCTCAGTTCCCAACACTTGGAGGACACTGGAGTGCTCTCTTTCTTTCTCTGACACTGCACAACCCAGCGGTCAGGACGTTCCTTAGGCCCCGCTCCAAAAGTCTATCCAGAATCTAGCCACTTCTCACTACCTCCATTACTACGTGCTCTGGCCAAGATACCGACATCTATATGGCGGATTATGCTGCCTTCCATCTAGTCCTCTCGTTTCATCCCTGCCCCCTCACCGTCGGTTTTCAATCCAACAGCACAGCATAGGTCTATGCATTTCACTCTGCTCAAACACGCCATAAAATCGTTTGAAGCCCATGAGCATGTTAAAAAGTCATGAGTTCGTAACACTAGTAAACAACAGTAACCACACCAAAGTGACACCTTATTTGGACGTGTTGGTGAATGTCAGGAAACCAGACCATTTCCATGAAAATCAGACAAAAGTAAAAAAAAAAAATCAAATATTAAAAGGGAGCAATAAGGGTAGGGAGTGAGCCCATGGTTTACAGGAAGAGCTAGAGTAATTTTTGAGAACTGCCATTACTTCAGCAATAATGTTGCTGAGAAGAAAGTATAAAAGTGAGTTCGCTAACAGCTGCAGCACTTTCCAGACCAACCGAGTGATTACAGTGCTTGAACAGGGACCGAGGCTTCCCTCATCAAAGTGCTTCACACACAAGGCACCTCAGTCATGGCCTTGTTTTGGGAATCTCTCAGGACAGTAGATATGTGATAAAAACCACAGAGGGATACTCCCACACATGCTCACACACAGACACCCATACACACCTACAGACATCCACTTATTGAATATTTGTGACCAGGAAAATGGTCACAATGAAAATGCTATTTTTCATTTGTTGTAATTATTTTGGAAATGTCAGTCTTACATCCAAATTGCTATTACCATAGTTTGGTAGATTCTCTTCGGTCTTATATAAAGGCAAGTATACTTAGAGTGTTGTTTCTCTTCACATTTAAACCATTATTGACTATGTAATGTGTGTGTGTTTGTGTGTGTGGGTGGGTGTGGGTGTGTGTGTTGCCTTACTGGAATGCCCAGCAGGCGTCTCTCAGCTCAGATCTTGAACAAAACTGATTATTTATGAGTCATTTTTGCCAATTTTGACTTCAGATGAAGTGCTCTGGATGTTTCCCTCTTATGTATGGTGTTCGGTATAAATGTTTTACATACCTGTTATCAGTTTTTACAAGTATTTTTGTATTCTTGGTTAGTTGAGTTGTTGGTGTTCGGGTTTAATCTCCATGGGTTGTTGAAGTTTATTGTGCATGCCTTGTTTTTCTCCAGAATAATCTTTGTGATAATCACCCTATTCTTAGTCCTTTTTCTTATTAATGTATTAAGTTACATTGTGCATCTCCTAACGTTAAACCAGTGTTGCAAATTCAGGATAAACACAACTTTGTCATGCTGTATTATGTGTTTTGAGCCATTGCCGCATTTAGTTTGCTATCATCTTATTTCTACTTTTCACATTTCTATACCTATTTAAGATGGACCAGTGATTATGTCTTCTCGTGCATTGTTTCTCAAGAATATTTCTTCAAGATCAAAGCGTTTTTTCCCCCTGGAATTCATTCATATAAATTTTCAAATTATGTGCCTGTCTTATCTTTTATAGATTTGCTGTAAGTGCAAGCATGATATGATGTCATTCCCAGGCACAAGTGGCTGCTGAACTGTGCCTCCTAACTTTCTTAACCCACTACACCAGAGGTTTGTGTTCTACACATTTGGAAAACACTAACATCTAGCACTTTTTCCAACTCTTTCATATGTTATCAATTTCATTGTTTTTCACTCTTATTTTACATAGGTACAAAGTATTCATGTGCTAGAAGAGGATTAGGTTGAACAAGATCTCCTAAAATGTTTTCCACAAAGCACAACAGTATCTCAAATGGTTCGTGTGTGTGTGGGGGGGGGAGGGGGAAAACATTCCATACCCATATAAATCGAGGAAATTGCCTCCTTTAGACTGAATGTTTATGTTTTGACTTCACACCCCTAACTCGATGGTGGTATGTGAAGATGTGGCTTTCAGGAGGTGATCAGGTCATGGGGGAGGTGCCCTCACCTATGGCATTAGAGTCCTTACAAAAGAGACTCAGAGAGCCCCTTTGGCCTTTCTGCCACATGAGGACACAGGAAGAAATCAGCCACTTGTGAAGCAGGAAATGGGCTCTCACCAGATGCTCACCCTGCCAGTGCCTTGATTTTGGACTTCTGAGCCTCCAGAACTGCTAGAAATAAACTGGTGATGTTTTTAAGCCATCCAGTCCATGGTGTCCTCTTACAGCAGCCTGAGCCAACTAGAACACTACCCATCCCTTTGAGATTCAAGTTGTATATTAGCATAAGAAATGCTACAATATGGAAATCCTTTTACCTTCATTTCTGTATGTCCCAGATTCCTTTAATGGAAGATCACGTTTTTGTTGTTGCTGTCTATCAGACATATTGTGTCGCTGAACAAACTTGGAAGTGCTGAAATGAGAGAAAAATAAGGTGGATATCATATACTAAAAACAATAGCAAAAGTAATAATACTCTTTAACCATCCATCAAATAATAGGTAAATTACCCACGATGTAAACACAGTCCTTTATTTCCCAAATTGCGCTCACTCCGTAGCATCTACGTGATTTTTATGAACAATACCCCTCCTAAGTTTGCTTAACATGTTTTTCTTAAATACATTCACTATTGTTTTCCACATGAAGGAAAGCAGGGACTTTTCAAGGGGTCTGAGAAGCAATGGTTAGAAAACTGAAACCTAGGAGTGTTTGGTGGGGGATGGTTTATTTAAACTCTTTAGGGATCCCAAGCACAGAAAGATCGAGGCATCCCACCCCACATCTATTTTAAAGAAACTATCGAGCCCTGTCTGGGTGGCTCAGTTGGTCAGAGCGTCCTGCCATACACTGGAGTGTGGACTGGCACACCAAGATCGCGGGTTCAGATCCCAGTCAGGGCACATACCAAGGCTGTGGGGTTCAACTGCTGGCTGGGGCGGGGGTGGGGGGATGGGGGGTGGGGGTGGGGGAGGGGAGGGGGAGAAGCAACTGATTGATGTTTCTCTCTCAAATCACTGTTTCCTCTCCCTCTCCTCTCCCCCTCCCCCTTCCGCTTTCTCCAAAATCAGTAAACATATCCTCAGGTGAGGATTTAAAAACTACTAATACAAAAAGAAAGTACTAAGCACCAAAGAAAATATAATAACCAAATTCTGAAACTTTGCATGATGCTGCTCCTTTCACGCTTTTATTGAAAACAATCAAATTCCTTTAAAAACGTATTTCTCCCTCCCTCTTTAGTAGCAAACAAGGGACAGACACGAAAATCAGATCTGTAATCCCGTATACAAAGTGGCATCTAAGAGGTCACTGGCGTCCTTAAGAACACATGAACGGAGGGGCAGAGTATGCCATCACACAGTACAGACAGTGAATACGGGAGGGTGAAAACAAGAGCAGGGCTTTGATGTGGGCATGGCGATGGGAGGCGAGGCGTGGTGGGTCCTACCCAGTTTCTCGAGCCTGGGCACAGAGAGAAGCCCACAACCCCCTGCCGCACTGCCCTGTGCCACCGCCAATTCTCTCAGAAAATTTCTGCTAGAGACTCCCAGTCCTCTTACCCGAATGGCGCCCCTCCTACCCAGTACCACACAATGCTCACCCAGGCAGGGTGTAAATGGGTGGGAAGGTTAGTGTTCAAGCCAGTCTCATCAAAATTTCCTGAGCCAGGGCGCAGACGACAATTTTCACAGTCTTCCGAACCTACAGGGGAGACTCCTCGGAAAGCTAAGCTGAGCTGCAGTGTTGGAATTACCACACACTTAAATGGCGGACATGGCCACAGGAGGTAACATGGCTGCAAGACCCACGTAACACGCAGCTGTGGAGCCCTACCTGACTCCCAAGACCTTTCGACAGGGGCTCCAAGATGGAAAGAGATGCAGGTTTGGAGAGCCCTCAATCCTCAAGCGACTGAGAGAACTGAGTCTCGCGTGATCACAGTGCTTCACGCGATCGTAGCGCGGTGTGAGACCAGAGGATATGCATGACCCACAGTGATTGGGCAGCGGCAGTGCTGGCGTAACGGCCAGGGCTTTGCCTGTCCAGTGATAGTAGGAGCCCCGAAACTGCTGACTTAAGAATCGGCAGAGTCCCGTGGTCTTCCATTGTTACTCCCACAGTCCTCAGTCTTGACGTGATCAAGGTAGCTGAGCTGGACCTGTGACCATAGTGGCACACGTGACCATACTATCTACACAACCCGAAGAAGCCATTCATTTATGTAATTTTCTGGGCTGGGGCTTCCACATGCCACTAAGTAGTAAGGGCCAGGTGACAGGAAGAATACAGAGGGTGGGCAGGGTTTTTAGGAGTCCACGATGCTCTAGTGACTTGAAGAGCTGGGTCTACCTCATGACCGTAGTGGCAACAGATCCAGAGAGGCCACAGGAGCCCAGGCGCGGATGGGACCAGTAGTTCCGGGCCTGCCGTGTAACTATAGCATCCACGTGATGGCAGCATCCACGTGACCACAGCTTTAGGAACTCACCAGGCTCACAAGCCCGGAATGATGACAGCAGGGTTCTCCTGATCTGCGTGTTTCAGGAGACCAGTCTCTTTACAACACCCCGTGATCTGAGGTTGCCCATATTCCTGGCTTCCCCACTGATGCTTGTGCCTCCGAGTGACTTTTCTCAATACACAACTTGGGCTTCACCTGCCCCCACTTCTTCTCTGGAGTGCCAATCTTATGGGTGTTTTCCGATAAGGTAAATATAATATGTAAATTAACACGTGGCAACAAAAGAGGTCCTTCCCAAAACCATAGTCATTAGCATATTGTAGCGATTGCTCCAAAAGACTAAGCTACGGGCAATTAAAAAATAAACATCTGCATTGATCACCTTGAAGACAAACTTTAAAAAATTAACTCACTTTCAATTTCAATGAATATCTCTACATGCGGCAAATGTTTCTAACATTCTGATTGGGTAAATATCCGCAGTGTTCTCTGTTAAACAATGTTCTGTTTTAAACATTACTTTATGCAGAGAAAACAGCATTCAACCTACAATGACATTAAAGAAAAAAGACTAAGCTTTGGGTGCAGGTAAGTTGTTGACTTCATTTTGTGTGAGTCTGAAGAAAAAATATTTCTGGGTGCTCTTTCTGATTTATGCTGTTTCAAAGCTCTAAATGTTTTCTTTAAACTCGGGTGTGTTTGTTTTTCTTTTTTCTTTTTTGTTTCAAATACTAAGTTAGGGTAGAGTTTCCATTTGCTTTGTGTCTCTTTTTCTCACGTGTTTACACGCCACAGGTCTTGACTTCCAAGGTGTTATTCTTTTCCGTTAGAAGTGTATTTTCCTGTCATAATACTGCCTAGGATCAGCTTTCTATGGATTCTTGCCCCATCCCCTTCCCCACAAATGTGTCTGTCCAAGTTGATTTCTAAAACCAGCATTTTTCTTTGTGTTGTTCTAGTGGAAACTATATGCTTGATAGTCTGAAATCCCTAAGGTGGGGGTGTCAATAGTCATTTCCACTGGGGGCCACATCGGCTTCTCAGTTGCCTTCAAAGAGCCTAATGTAATTTCCACTCCTTAACAGTTAAGGAATAGTTATATTTATACAGTCCTAAAATTATTTCCATCCTTTGAAGGCAACCTTGAAGGCTGATGTGGCCCCCAGTGAAAATGAGTTTGACACTCCTAAGGGCACTCTGATCTGTTGCTGATTTTGTGTAAATTTTTCTGCTCACCTGTAATTCAGAACTTGGCAACTTAGCCCAATGTTTCAGTTACTTTCAAACCTATTTTTCCAGTTTGATCAAGAAATAATGTTTCTGATTAGAGTGGTGGCAGTGACAATGAAAAGAATTGTACATTAAGAGGAATATTTTGGTGAGATGATCAAAGAGAATTGCTTATGGTTTAATTAGGAATGAAGATGTGCTCATATTGTGTTTGGCCTGAGGAACTGGATGATTTTACAGAAACGGAAAAATAAGACTGAAGAGAAATGATTGGTAATGGCAGAAGGAGGCACCCTAGTCAGCTACATTAAGTTTTAAGTACCTAAAAAATAGTCAAGTGGATATATCAAAGAAATAGTCTGAATTGAGAGGGGAAAAAGTGTGTTTAGATGTCACGTTCTTTGAGAAACCTTTGCTGAAAGTCCACTTCCCATCCCTTTCAGCTCTTTACCTTTGCTACCCACAGGATCCTTCATCACTCCTATTATAGTCTTTATTAAATTTATATCACAATTTCCTGTTAATTTGTCCAATTTCTCTGTGACTGTGAGCTGTTTGTGGAACAGAACCTATGTTCTGATGTTTTTTTCAGATTCTTTCTTGCCTCAATGGTGACAGTCATTTCTTTTTATTTGCATGACAAGATAGTCAATTCAATTTTTTCTATAGCTCCAATTATTGAAAGTCATTTTTCAAATTAAGCCAGATTTGCCTTTGTCTCCCTTCTATTCAGTAGAAGATATACCTATGAAGGTATTAGCTAGCAATTTACTTGTCTGAATACATACTTCAATAATTTGCCTTAGAGCCTATGTGATCACAGGTCTGGATGAACATACTACTCTTTCAAACCAAGCATGTAATAAAAATCCCAACACTGTTTCTACATGTAGTATCTTAAAATATGTCTCCTCACATGTTTTTATAGTATCTTCCATAGCCAAATGCAGGATTTAATACTTATATTCATTAAATATCATCTTATTAGACTTAGTACTTAACTCCAGAAATGGAGTTCATCTGGGATCCTGCATATGTCTCTTGACTTACACTCTTACCTCCAAGTGCTCAGGTGCAGAAGCTGGGAGCAAAGCAAATGTGTCAAAGTTGGGCACAGGCCCTTCTACCCAGCTTTAACCAGGAAACAACACTTTCTGGTTAACAGAAAATGTATTTTAGGTGGCGTAATACTAAGTGTATTTTTTTTGTCCTAAAATTTTGGAAAACCACTTTCTAGAGCAATTCACTGGTGACCCTCTCAGTAACGTAGTCAATGCCACACCTTAGCCCTCCCCCAACTTGCCACGCCACCCAGTGGCAAGTGATTTTGCTGTTTAAAATTTGTTCGACTTTCCCAGTATTGATTAAAATTGTACGGCTAATTTTAATGAATTTTTTATCTATTTAAGTTTATTTGAAAACATCACAGTAATTTGGTATCTTAATGAATAGTCTTGCAACACAGAGCTTTGAATTCCCATCCCCCAGATTTAATCACAAAATGGACTTCTGCAAAAGAACTTATCAATTCTAAAAATGCTCACAATTTATACTGGCTCACATTCTTTTTATGAAAAATGTTGCTTTCTTGGCATGTTCAGAAGAGAGAATTTGCCATTTTTGTGGCTAATTGACAGTCTATTTGCTTGACTGGTGTTCCTATTTCCCCCTTTCTCCAGTATATCAGATGTGTTAAGAACAGGGAAAGTGATAATAGAGCACCAAATAATCTTATACCAACAGGCTTGTGGAATAAAAGTTAATTTGGGTACCATCTAAATCCCTTCTGAACTAATCCCTTCTGGAGTATTCATTCCACCAGGTATAAACCCGACCATCTGAATATGCTTCATCTCATATTTGCTTTTGTATTGAAATCATGAGAAAAACCAACTATTAAATGGCTTGCCTACATGCACATACATCACCACCTAAATTTATTTACTTCTTGATAGGATGAGCACATCAAGGGAATAGTATAGACTACTTTTTCCTGTCACTAATGACTCCATGTTGAATTCTCATGGTATTCCTACAAAGTCACACAGAAACTTGATGGTGCTACTGAAACCAGAATCCTGAGATTTTGATTCCCAGGCTATCACTCCTTCTATATTATGGTGATGTTCAAATGCTTACAGGAGGTGCTTATCATAAAAATGGGGAGCACCAGAGTAAAAAAATAAGCAAGATGAAGCAATTTAAAGTGATGCACCCTCATAGCCCATTCTCACTTATAAATTCTTCCTTCTTCAGCTTTAAGTATATAGGCAGTCATATTTCTCTATCTTAAAACTGAGCTCAAGTCTGAATATCGGCTTCTACTAAGCAAGATGTAGAAGAAATAAAATTATTACAGCTTTATAATGTGATCTCATCAGAGGTACAAATTGTTTATTTCCCCTCTCACTCTCAAAGTAAAATCATCTTTGGCTGGGAAATTATCTTTTACATAAAACAATATGTAGAAAACATTTTAATATAATATAACCATTTCCAGAATAGAGACTGACTTTGTATCAGTACTTTTAAAACTATATATCATCTAAGATTATTATAGACTGTTTCATTTTCCACTTTCAGCACTATAAAATACAAAAATACACTGCAAATTAGATTTAACAAACAAAGAAGTCAGTCTAAATCTCTTCATAAATTTTTCTTGGAGAAAATCAAGAAACATAAACAAAGACTCAATATCAATAAAGCACCAACAACACTAACACAAACCCAAACAGAAAAATGGATTCTGTAATAGCTGGCAATTGTTTCACTTAAAACAGATTATCTACCATGGATAAATAATTCACTATCACAGCAATTTGATGAATAGAAATAGAGAAAACTTCATTAAGGAAAATTACATTATATGTAAGAAACACATAATTTCTCTTTTTTTTAAGGAAAATGAGGAAAAGTAACTTGACAAAAAGGCATACTGAATACTTTTACATCACTTGGCTCTTTTTAGAGGTTCAAGTCACTGTCCACTTAGGAAATTCAGATAACATGAATTTCATAGAAGCAAACTATTCAACTTATTTATTTAATTCAACCTTAAATTAGCAAAAGTAAAAAGTTCAAAATCCAAGAGTAGATTTGTCCCAAAGAATGACTCTCCTGTCTTTTCTTCAACAAGTTTCCTTTTCTCTTATGTTCCTGTGTTCTTACCATCTTATATACTTTCTTAGAGACTAGAGTTAGGCTTATTTATTCTTTTGGTTTACTTTATTTCCGTTAATAAAAGAACAGCAAGCTGTCTTGAACTGACACTGACTGTATCCACCTCTGTTTTTTTTTTTTTCATTTAATGCTTTCATCTAGGTCAATTTTCTTAACTAACTTTTTCATTGCATCATTGGGTAAACAATATTAAAAGTTTAAATTCCTAGAACAGACTCATCCAAAAGCATTTACTCTTTTGTCTTTTCTTCATCAGGTTTCCTTTTGTATTATGTTCTTGTGTTCTTATGTTTTTTCTCAACATCTAGGTTTAGTCTTGTTTGTTTCTTCTTTTAATTCAATTTCAATTCTTACACAAAAAACTTTCCTGAACTGACACTGACTGTATGCACCTCTCTTTTTCTTCACTGAATGTTTGTCTAAATCCATATTCTTATGTCTTCAATGCATCTTTGGGTAAATAAAATTTGAAGTTCAAAATCCAAGTATAGATTCATCCCAAAGCATTTCCTCTTCTGTCTTTTCTTCAACAGATTTCTTTTTCTCTTTCCTGTGCTTACGTTCTTCTTTCGTAGAGGTTACACCATGGCTTTTTTTCTTTTTTCGGTGCTTAAGCTTTCCTGAACTGACACTGACTCTATCTTCTCTTTTCTTTTGTCGGATGCTCTTGTCCTTGTCTAGTTCCATATCCCCATCACTCTTTTTTCTTTTATGCTTGGACTGCTCTTTCTCTGGCTTTTCTTCACCTTCCTCCAGGTGCCTTCTTCTCTTCTGATGTCTCCGTTTATGACCTCTTTGAGGGTCACTGGTATTTTTTTCCAAGGAGAGGTGCTTGTAAACTTCTGATTCTACACTGTATAAGCCAGAGTTATTTTCTTGCTGACTAAGGCTTAGGGGTACTGGTTTTTCTGAGAAATAATCTCTGGTGGGTTGGCTGCAGGTCATAGAGTCTAATTTCTGTTTGCTGTCATGAGCCGGTAAGCAATGAGGTAACTGATTTTCCACTGCTTGTGAAATATCGTATGATTCTGGGTAGGTCTGAAAAGTCTCAAATGGGAGTCTTTGCTCAGACATTCTATATCTAGGTCTGGAATCAACCATGTCTCTGTACTTATGGGTTTCTGTAGAGCTATCATTTATCTTTCTGAAACAAGTCTTTGGATGTAGTCCTCTGGCTTTCTGAACTTTGATGTAATCTTCCAGTTCATCTTGGAAAGAGTCATATGTCCTATTTGAATAATCTGGTAACCAATAATGTAACTGGTTTTCCACTGGTGAAATATTATATGGTCGTTGGTAGGTATGGGAAGACTGAACTGAAAATCTTTGCTCATACATTCTTTGTCTGGGTCCAGAATCAACTTCTCTGTACTCACGTGTTTCCATAGAATTCTCTCTCATCTTCCTGAAACAAGTCTTTGGATGTAGTCCTCTGGCTTTTTGCACTTTGATGTAATCTTCCAGTTCATCTTGGAAAGAGTCATATGTCTTCTTTGAATAAGCAGGTAAGTAATGAGGTAACTGATTTTCGACTGTTTGTGAAATTTTATATGATTCTGGATATGCCCGGAAAGTCTCACGTGGGTGTCTTTGTTCATACATTCTACGTCTGGATCGGGAATCAACAACTTTTCTGTACCCATGGGTTTCCAAAGAAGTCTCTTCCACCCTTCTGAAACAAGTCTTGGGCTTTGGTTCTCTGACTTTCTTCACCTTGATGTAATCTTCACTTTCATCTTGGTAAGAGTCTTGTGTCTTTTTTGAATTCTTCACTAGATTAATAATAATGGATTCTCTGCAAAGAAGACCATAGAAAGTTGTTATTACTGGATTATTTTATCTGAATATTTTCTTTGCTTTCAAAAACAGTAGTCTAAAAAATGAAAAAACATTAAAAGCCAAAACTTTACAAAGCTACCCCAATATAAAAGCTATAAATCATGACTTGTTATGTCAAAAAGAAGCAGCAAGGATAGTCACATACCTCCCAGGTACCTCACAATATTTTACACATAAATACATTTTCAGGCCTGGGAAGATGGGTACAAAGAAGCAGACATATCCGATATTATTACAGTACTTAAAATGTAAGGCAGAATGGGATGTTTGGGAAAGGACCAATAATATTTTATGTCCTAAAGATGGTCTCATCTGAATGGCATGCTGTTTTAAAAGTTTTGGTTACTCAGTTCCTTGTATAGATTTTTAAAATGTGGTGGTTACTTATTCTGGAACATTGAGATATTTTTAGAAGTCTAAGTGAAGGTTAATTTGGTGAGTCAGACAATTTAGTTCCTAAGTGTTCAGATGCAATAGTATAAATCTTTTCTACTAGAATAAAATCATGTAATACTATGCTTTGACTGTAAAAGTAACAAACCAATATACAATAGCTAAGTGACCCTCTGTCCTGCTAGTTGACTTATCCAGCCCCCAATTGTCCACTCAATCCTCTCCTTCTTAAAATAATAGAATGGAATAAACATTTATTGAGATCCTACTATGTTCCAGACCAAGCATCTTACACATATTTTTTATTTCCTTACAACCACTTTATATCAGATCTATCCAAAGTTATATATTTGATAGAGAGATACATCTGGTAATCCAATCCAGGTCTAACAGCAAGTCCTTTTTATTAACCACTATACTTCAGTGGAAGGATGATGACCAGATCACTGAGTCCCTGAAATTAATACAACCTACCAGGGATTATTTGAATGTGTATGGTTAGCCAGAGAATGAGCCTTTAACAATTTCTCCAGAGGAGGACAATGCTGTCTGATAAGAAAGAGTGCCAGGTAACCAGCTCTGCCAGTATACTATCATGATTAGAGAACTTACTGAGGGATGATACTAGCATGCAATGTGTTACAAATACCACAAACCATACACAGGATTAACTCACAGGGAAATTATTGCCTAGAAAATTTGTAAAATACATGCAAGAGTACTTGACAGAAGCCCTGGTCTTTGGTATCACAGGAGCATTTGGGGGAAAAAATACTTACCTAATTTGATGTTCACTTCCTTGCATATGGGACCGGAACATTTCTAATGATGTAAACGTGATATTGCAAATATGACAAACATAGGTCCTTGTACTAAATGCTGAAAAAACAGAGTTAAAATAAAAAAGGTTAGTATGGATTCTAGTTTTATGTAGAATCACACAGTTGCGCAGGAATTTACTAGGTATCATCTGCTTGCACTTTCCCAATTTAAAGATAAGGCCCATAGAGATCAAATGACTTTATCAAAGTCACAGAGATAGTAATAGAGATGTTTTCTCAGAGCCCATGTCTCTTAATTTAAAGCCCAGAATTCTTTACATGATACCACATTGCTTCTCTAGCCTTGGCCTTTTCCCTAAAAATCTGCTATTTGCCTGCTTATTGTTTCTATGTGGGAGTACAGCAGGTACTTTAAATTTAGCATGTGCAACGAATGAACCTTTGCCTCTAACCCCCTCAACCAACCTCTTTTTGTTTGATCCTAGTTCTCTTTACACTCAGCCAAAACCTGAAATATCCCAAAAGATTAAAGACAAAAGCAAATTTTCACAATGTTATCTGAAATCATGTAGTACATTAGTTTACCAAAAGTAATTTCTACAGACAGATTTTAGAAAGGAGAGAGGTTTAATGAGACCCACTATCAGGACAAAAGCTGAAAGCAAATTTTTAAAATAAAACTACTAGTTACCATTTTAAAAGAGCCAACAGCTACAGAATAGGTATATTAGCTACATTCTGCTTCCTAGGTAGAATTGGAAACAGGAAAAATTAATTTTTATTTACTTAATCTCATCATCTTTCCACTTCTCTTTGGTCAGAAGAGGCAAATTAACAAATTTCATAAGTTAAAAATAAATACCCTAACAAAGAGGTAATAAATTGATAGCTGCAGAGATTTTAGGGTCAAGCAAGATCATCTTTGAAATCAAGCAACCACTCATTTGTTTAAAGGATGCACAAATAATCATTACAAAGTATATTGACCTTTCCCAAGCAAAGATTGTTCACAGAAACAGGAGACTACTGTCAAGGGGGAAGAGATGATGACTTTGAAGAATATGAAAACTCTATGCACTCCTGACATACCCATACTCTATGGTGGGCCCAGAAAAGCTCAGCAGATTATGCCAAAGTTTGAATGAATAATTCCTCAAAACTATCCTCTCTCCCAGTGCTTTGATCCTGTGCTCACAAAGTGACTTTCTGATTATAATTTGGCTTCCCATATTCTTTGGTACCAAAAAGAGGATGGCCTTAGATATTGAGATATCTAAGGCAATATCTCAATAGGATATTTTTTAAACCCTGAGAACTGGAAATACATACAAGGTGGGGCAAAAATAGGTTTATAGTTATTAGTACATGAAACAAACTTTATTCTTGTATTAATTATTGTATTATTTCCCACACAAACTCTAAACCTACTTTTGCTCCACTATTTATATATGTCCCCCTACTGTAAATCAATACTAGAATGATAGTGTGTTAACATAAACTGCAATGTTTCCCAGACTTTTCTGATAAGAATCACCTGGAGTGTTAGTTTAAAATATAGATCTCTGGGCTCTTGCCCTGGAGAACATTATTGGCTGCCTCTGGGGCAGGTAATTTGGATTTTAATGACACCCTTGGCTATGGTTATCAGTGAATGTGTGAGAAATGAACCAAGGGAATACTTTCCAGTTCCTTAATTATTTGTCAACATCTTCCAAGTTTGTTTGTGGTGTGGTGAGTCCCTAATTTGAAGGTGATCAATTCTGAAGATTCTGGACTTGATTTTTAAAAAAAAAATTTAAAGACTTCATTTATTTATTTTCAGAGAGAGGGAAAGGGAGAGAAACATCTATGTGTGGCTGCCTCTCATGTGCCCCCTACTGGGGACCAGGCCCACAACCCAGACATATGCCCTGACTGGGAGTCAAACAGGCGACACCTTGGTTCACAGGCCTGCACTCAATCCACTTAGCCACACCAGCCAGGGCAGATTCTGGACTTCTTGCAAAACTAAGGACTAAATTCAGGATGCTACATGTTCACAACACTTTACAGGAAATTATTACTATACTTATTTAACAGGTGTGAAAATTAAGGCTCAGATTTGCTTGGTTAGTATCATACACTTCGAGGTCATCCAAGATATGCAAGATAAGCAAAAGTCTAAGTTTCCTCTAAATTAGTGTTTCTCAATGTTAGTTACACATTAGGACCACATGGAGAACTTAATACTTTTCATGCTGCAGTCCATATCAGACCCATTAAGTCAAAAGAGTGGACCCAGGCTTTCTGACTTTTTGAAAGCATTCTAAATAATTTTTCTGTGCAACCATTGTTGAGAATCACTGCCCTGGATTATCAAGCCAAAGATATTCATTATAATTGTGAACTCATGTTATATTTCAGAGTTTTTATATATCTGTTTAGAGTTATAAAGTATATGGTATATAATGTTCTTCTCAGTTCCTCCACTGATTCCTAAAAATTATATCAGAAGATTATAATATAGGTAATACAAGAGTTTAGAGGAGCTGCAGGTCACACATGAAATATCCAGAGGCAGTTCTGAAAATGTGGTCTCATTACTATTGACTTAACCATTGTCTTTTTCACACACCTTATCTTTTTCTAAGCTATTGACATCTCAGAAAATAATATATAAAAATGTGTAAACCCTTTCTGTGAAGATTTAAGGCCTATTTATTAGTCCCACTATCAAAATTCTTGGTCTAATACTCCTGGCACCTGCCTCCATACATTTCTTTTTTCAACCATATGTTTCTTATACTCTCAACTCTCCCCCACCCATTTGAATCTGCCCCTTGGCCCCATCCAGCATTGTTGTCCTCAGCCTTGCTAGGATTCCTTGTTTTTGACTTCACCCAAAAATTCAACTTTCTTTCCATCTTGTACCTTTCAGAATCTTCCATAACCACTTGTGGATCCCACATTTCTCCCAATCACAGCTCAATATTGTAACTACTTCAATTAAGGTGTGTGTTTTTAAAAAGTAGATATGGGAAGTGCTGTTTATAGTCTAACATTGTGGTTCTCAATCTTGGCTCTATATTTCAATCATTTGGGTAGTTAAAAAACAGAAAATAAAATACTCATGTGTAGGTCCCAGGGATTCTAATTTAATTATTTCAGAGATGGCCTGAGCACTGGGATTTCTAAAAGCTCCCTACATTATTCTGATATGTAGTTAAAGATGAGAACCATAGGTCCAATGTTTTAAATAAAGAAAGATCAATTAAGAGAAATGTATAAGCAAAAATACAATTAATATGGGATTAGGTTTATGAAGAAAAGTAAAACATGTCTAATTTACCTGTGTTTTAATCTTATGATAGGAAAACAAAACATTTTTTAAAACTAATATTTTTTGAGAACCTATTCTGTGATGGATGCTGTATATACTGCTTTATTTCATCCTTTTTCAATACTATGAAGAAGCCTTATTTTCTTTTTATACCTGTAGAATCTCAGGTACAACTAGGCAAGTAACTTCAAATATGCCTCTTGATTTATGTTTATGCCTCTACAAGACATTGCTCTCAATAAACAATTAGCAAATATGAATTGAGGAAAACTATGCAGTCATTACCATATAAAGCACCGAGAAGAATATTGCAGAATAAAATATAATCCTATGTCTCAAGGAGACTATTTCAATTAAGGAGCTATAGTTAATGCAATTGTCAGTGAACAATAAAGTTAATAACAAATCAGAGGAAGGGAATAATACCAAGAGCTAGAGCAGTGAGGGAAGTCATGATATATCTTGGAGGACAAGGATTTGAACTACAAGGAAAGCAGATATGGGCATTCCAGAAGATGAAAGCAGTATCAGGTATGGCAGAGACAGAAATGGGCATGATGTGTTGAATTCAAATAATCTGTTCAATAAACACTGAGCACCAATGTGGCACCAAGCAACATGCTAGATCGTAAGGGTACAAGATGAATACAGTACGCAGGTTGTTCACAAATCCAAGTCATAAATATATGTGAACAGAGGATTTCCACCTTATTTGGTAAAAGGTAAGAGAGGTGTGCTAACATGTATGGGAGCTCAAAGAAGCAGAGGCAGTGAAAACATTACAGGGACCTGAAGAGGGATACTGGAAAAATGATTCCTTAGTTAAACTTGGAAGGAAGATAAAAATTGTTAAATTGATTAAAAGGGTTGAGAAAAGTATTACAGGCAGAGTAAATAGCATTAAAAAAGAAAATGTGGCATATATATGTACACAATGGAAAATTACACAGCCATAAGAAAAGATGAAATACTGCCATTCATGACAACATGGTTGGATCTTGAGAATATCATGCTAAGCAAAATAAATCAGACAGAAAAAGTAAAAAACCCTATGCCCTATGATTTCACTTGTATGTGAGACATAAAGCTGAAAGCATCGAGTGAACTGACAAGGCAAATAAACAAAAACTCATAGACAGACAACAGTATGGTGGTTATCAGAGGACAGAGGGGTGGGGGAAAATAAAGGGTAAAAGGGGTAAAATATATGGTGACAGAAGGATATTTAAATTTGGGTGGTAGAAACACAATGCAATACACAGGTAATGTATCATAGATGTACACTTGAAACCAATGTTAATTCAATAAATTTAATTTTTAAAAAAGCACAGAAGTATCTGAAAAAACTTTTAAAAATACATTTTATTTATTTATTTTTAGAGAGAAAGGAAAGGAAGGAGAAAGGGAGGGAGACAAACATCAATGTATGGTTGCCTCTTGTGTGTCCGCTACTGGGTACCTGGCCCACAACCCAGGCATGCGCCCTGACTGGGAATTGGACTGGTGACCCTTTGGTTTGAGGGCTGGCATCCAATCCACAGAGCCACACCAGCCATGGCTGAAGGAACTTCTTAATAATTCGGAATTGTTGTAGAATTAAATGTAAGGGGGTAAGATGGGAGAGGCAAAGGGGTGTCAGATTAAAGAGAGATTTATAAGTTATGATAAAGAACCTAAACTTTTTATTTTGTGCATTGAGAACCTTGAAGCCGTTTAGGCATTAAGTGACATGGTCAACTGTGTGTTTTCGAGAAACTGTTCCTCTAGCTACAGTATGA